GAGAAAAAAGGAGTTTTGAAACATCATGTGCTGCGTGTTTGGAAAAGGTAATACCAGGTGAGAGCTGGGGGATTAAACCTGACAGTAAGGCTGTGTTGAAAAGCTGAAGTGGACCGAATCGCACAAAACTCTTACATAAACGGGTCAGAATCAGAGGAAAGGTGACGTCCTTTAGCTGTCTGTGTTGTGAAATACTTCAGGGACAAATCAATGTGAACCACTACAGGCTCTTTGTGGGTCAATGAAGTCCCAAAGCGAGGGTGATATAACCCCGAGTGACTCCAAACCCAAGACCACAAAGATTATTCCATTACACCCAAACCTGGATTAAAGTGTCACTGCTGGTTCACAATGTGTGGCACTACCTCTGACGGTATAATAACCACTGAGTAACCACAGGAGACGATCAAAAGAAAGATCTGAGCCCAGTAGGGATGTAAGACGATCGCAGAAAGGGTGAGAAGTTGGCAACTATCACTGACGAATCAGTCTGAGAGAATATCACTCAGGAAACGATCACACCGACCGCAGGGCAGGGATCATGTAGCTCTTTAAGGCCGGGCTGGCACAAACACATCAGGGAATTTTTGCTTAAAAGTTTTCAGTGACTGGAATAACTCGTTTGCTTTCAAAATTAAGTAGCTGAACAGAAACTGCTCTCTTTGCTTTTTACTTTGACTCACTATTTCTGTTGATCTTGGAAAATTTCAGATAAGCATCAATGTCTTACTTCACAGATGCCAGTAAGAAAGCTGACAAAACCCTATGAACCTATGAAGGTGTGAAACTCAAAATGAAACCTTCATATTCACAATGTCGAAGTTTAGATTGTCAATACTCTGGGAAATGCAGAATCACTCATCCATATTCATACAGCGTGGGCCTCCACTTCTACTGAAAGACAGAAAAGCAATGCCTCTGCCTCAACACGTCCACTACCAAAGACAACATGGAGTCGTCTTTTAAAGGATAACTTTTTACTCTGAGCAGAGTCCGCTGTTTTAGGACTGTTTCGATGGCAGAGGCGACTCTGATGGCGGCACTTGGGTACAAATACTTCAAGAAAACAGGGTCAGGGGAGGGAGGAAACAGTCCTTCGAAAGCGAGTCTGTGTTATTGGCGTTGTAGGAGCCAAAATATGTTGCTGTGATACATATTATAAGTTGCAGTTCACTTTGTGTGCCTTGGGTGTCGCTGTCTTGTTATCTGGTGGCTCAGGGATGAGGGTAGCCTTGTCACTGTTGTCGGCAGGTGTTTGACCTGGAGGGGCAAAAGGTTTTTCACCATCGTGGCACTAACTACCAGCGTTTTCCTTGTTGATATCAATTGCAAAATGGATTTGATTATGTCCATTGCAATAAATTTTTTGTTTGCTGAATCCGACGAACAGCGTACGGACTTTCAAAAACTCAGTAGCGCGGCGCGTCAACCAGGTCACTCCAGGTCAAGCATCTCAGGGCCTTAAAGTATCGACTTAGCTCCTACACCCACTTCTATCGAAAGTCCTACCATGTAATCCAAACCTTGTCGTCATCCCGCTCCTGATCGTAAAACCAGCATTGTTACAGTTTCAGATCAAACCCCCAATTTTCACCGCATCCGGAACGGCGGCGATTTATGCCATCCGCCAATTCCTACCGGATCCATTTGTGCGACAAATTTCGTGGCGGATTATGGATTCACATGCAATTGCGCAATAACAAGTTGCAAGAACTCTTGTGATCAGCTGAGGAGTCCGGCGATCTGCAGTGGAACGGAAAGAAGCCGGTGGAAATTGACACATTAACTTGAATGGTTACCATCAGCTACGATCGGCGGATACGGCCTTTTCATAGACGTAGAAAATTGGTGGTTATTTAGTACTGAGACACCGAAAAAAGGAAACAGTTCAGGCTTTATAAGCTATACTGCACCCAGCCACCAGGGGGAGCTCTAAATGTTTTGGCTTCACTATCAAGAAGTAACTGAGCCGTCCATCTTCCTAACCAACCAAAACACCGGAGCTGTTACCGGTTATTAACTCTATGATATCTGCCTGACCTGATCCACAGACCCAGTCAGGAAAATCGATGTTCAACCTTTACGATCTTTTCTTTTATAGCTCAAAAAATACTGAACTGTAAGACAGACAGCAGGTTAATAAAGTTAAGAAACAACCTTAGTCATCACGGAAACTTTATTGTCCTTAAACTAACAGTAAAATATTGAAATGTCTAACCGCTTATTTCATCACAGGCACAAACTGGAGTGATTCTGCCTACTCTGAGTTTGACAGTAATCCTGAATGAGTGGGTCTCTAGTATGCCGGGTGGTCTTGCCTCTGTTTTGTTGTTTTTTTCGCCCACATGGATGCAGAATACCAGGAAAGCCCACTGTTGACAACTTGCTCACATGCCTTCTCAGAAATGAAAGTTGCGTAACTGTATTTGAAGCAGGATCAGGTTTATGTTTTACTAGTTTGTGTCACTTCATCAGTCAACTGAGCCGGAAAGAAAGGAGGAAAGTTGGACGAGGTGCAAAAGAATCCCCACTAATGAGAAGAAATGTGCCGCCTTATCCGAGTCAGAGTTGTAAGGTGCAAGTTTGGACATGCAGCATACCTGCACCATCTCTGTGGCAACAGATGACAAATATAAATGAAAATGAAGGTTTGGTAAGAATTTAAGACAACAAATGAAAGTGCCCTGATAGATTAAGTAGGCCAAATGTTTCTAACCGGGTAAATATAAAAGTTTGAAAAGAGAAAGTTAGTGAAACATTCAGCTCAGAAAGTTATCAATAATATGGGTGTAACTGGACCGACTGTCCTTCGAAGGATCCTCGGTTTTCTGTCTATCTGTCTCAGACAGTTGGCTGAAAGTGATGATAAGAAAACGGAGGAGGAGGAGGGGGTTTTGGTGAGGGACACTCTTCTTCAGAAATTCATAAAAACGTGGACGACTGCCTCTGAAAGTAGATGACCTCAGCAGCTCATGGCAGATAGGGTCAGGGTTCGTAACCGCAGTGTTTGCCAAAACCAAACTAGGGGGCACTGTTTCATTAGTTACCATTTAATATTTAGTGTTATGTCATGCATGTTTCACTGGTTTAACAGGTTGAGAAGGTGATAATTTGTACACCTGAATCTTCTATTTCTTGGCAATATTTCTCTTTTTTCAGCCTCACATGTGGTGTTGTAAAGTCGCTGCACCCAAAGCTCCACAAACTTTTCCTCTCTCCCATACTCACATTTTTCTGCACCAGCTTCATCATTTTCTCACCTCACTTTAACATTTAGGATAATATGATCACACCTCCTTATTTTCAGACACTCTTCATGTGCACATACTCGATGCAAACTAAATCAGAGCCTCAGATGTGCCGCCTTTGTCAATAAAAAGTCTGGTAATCTTCCATTTCTGGCAAAACAAGCAGCAAAGGATTTTATAGAGAGAGTGGTGTCATTCATTTCTCAACTTATTTGGTGTCTTTAGCTGAAGTTTTCACTCACTGATTCTGCATACACATTAATATAAACAGACGTATTGTGTAAGAAATCAGTGCGGGACTGAAATATTGGTGTTTATCATGTGTAGTTTGGATGCAGCTTGGATTTTGTGTCACAACTTCAGCAATTTATTCATTTTTGGGGTCTTTTCTTGCCTAATTTTACATAAATTATACCAGACATGATGAAAGACAGTTTACTAAATGTGCAGCATGCAAGGTGGCATGTTATCGTTTAGTCTCACACTAATTTTGACCCATTTAAATGCAAGCAGAAGGGCACATAAAGACACTTTCAACTTTTTAGTGCGAGTTTTTTAAACAAACTTGAATACAAGTTTGAATAAATATCACAAGTTTGAGCTTTATTTTGTAATAATGAGCATAATAAACACATAAAATGATCCACAGTTGGTCGTTTGCATAGACTATATTTACTATGGACAACTTGGTTCCGCCTCCCGCCTGGACACAGATTTGAAGCCAAAAAACTCTCGTTTTTTCCGTGATTTTTCTTCATTTCCTGAAACCAGCGCTGCGCAGAAGCGATGCATTTGGGCGCCAAGAGTCGCTGTGATGACGATCGGCTCAAACACCATATCCCCCGGGAGAGCTACGCAATCCCTGAACGCTCATAGGCTGTATCAGGTGTCAATCATAGAAAACATGAGCCCCCTAATAACTTTTAAAAATGGAGCTGCACAGAAAAAAAGAGGACTTGAGCACAAACCAGTCTGATAGTAACTACATGTCAACATCACAACCAGGGGGGAGAAACATTTAGATTCTGTGTGATAAATTGTTTAAGTTTGTCCACAGTTCCATAAGCTTCGCTGGCAGAGGTGGGATTTATGACCTGTACTGCAGCCCACCATCAGAGGGTGCTGTTCTTGGAGTGGCTTCACCCAGCGAAGAGGCAGACTCTGTCCATTCTATATACAGTCTATGGTCGCGTGTCAAATCCCAGAGTTTTTAATACATTTTCACATCCACTATTGCTGCCAAAACAGGGTCAGAGGATGTGGGAGTGGGAAATTAAGATTCTCCAATCATGCAGAAACAGGCATTCAAGCAGTGAAACAACTTTCCCCAGTCTCCCCTATTTTTAGCAGAGTGACTCTTATTATCCAGAGCAACTAAAGGGACTTAAATGACTGTGAAGAGACATTTTATACATTAAAACTCTATATCATCATATTTTTGTGCAACTTTGCTGCATCTGCTCTGATTTCTGCAACTTACATAACAAAATATGACAACACTTCTAACTTTCCTGTGATTTATTTTATTGATAAATGAGTCATAAACTCTTTTTTATGAATGCATGTGAAGCCTTACAAGTTGCAGTAAAATCCCAGGCTATCTCCCTCCCATCAAACCCGGATCTATTCCCATCAGAGGTAAATGACTTAACTGCACGTATGTCTCTGATAATAATGCAATGGATCACGCCGGTTTTCAGCCACTAAACTCCGCCCACTTACTATTTAAACCCTCAATGTCAGCCGGCACACAGCTTCTCACTGGAGAACTTGATCTTGACCAACACGTCTGGATTCATAGGAGAAAAAAAAACACTCAACAGTAAATCCAGAGTCTGAGCTGTAAATACCAAGAAGGTAAGACTTAACTTAACTTATGTAACAGGGAAATAGATTCATGTGGTGAAGCCTAAAGTGATTTGCATATTGCATTGAGGGTGCATTTTTGGGCGTTTTCACAGCAGACTGCTCCTCTTCAGTTTAATGAGAGTTTAAGGTAAAAGATCTTTTTAATGCAGAGGGGTATTTCTGTGCAGACAGGAGTGTTTTAGAGGTGAAATGCATGTAAATTATGAGGAATATCTTCACTCTCATTGTCTGTTCATGTTTGCTTTGAGCCACAGGTTAATTGAGTTTGATCTCTTTTAGGGTTTTATCATCATCAGCTTGGATACCTGAACTCAACACTCACCTCTTGGGAACATTTTGACTTTTTTTCCCACTCTTTTTTTTTTCACTTCATTTTTTTTTCCCACTCTTGGGATTTAAACTTCGCCCGGTCGGTGTGGTGGCCCCCTCCTTCCCGGAGAGGGTGTAGAGAGATCGTTGGCCCGGAGATGCGGTCCTTTCTCCCGCTGACTGTCTATTGCATCAGCCTGGTTTCCCTCCACCAGCTGCTGGCTCTGCCGGCGAAGGAGCGTCTCGACACCGACAGGTAAGACAGACGCTTCATTTAAGTCTCCTACTTCGGAAAACCTAAAGGTATTCTCCTCTCCTCTGATTGGCTGAGTGGTTTTGTTAAAATATAACGTTTTACGCACGTGAAGCCGCATTACGGCTGATTTAAATCCATGCGCCGCGGACTTCAGAGACACTTGTCCGGCTGTTTGGGGGTCAGACTCAGTCATCTGCAGAGTTTGTGACTCGGAATAGTTTAATGGATGAATTACACGGTTTGAATCAGTGATTTTTAGCTCAATAAACCGGATAAAGTTGGCTGTAAAACTTCGGTTCGCTTTACTGTCTTTTGTATGGAAGCCCAAAGTGGTCTCCTAACTTTTTATTCACTCCGTTTTGCAGTGACAGCCTGTGAATATCTGATTGTTTCCCCAAGATCTTGACTTATATTCACTATTTTCTACAAACAAGTTTTATGTGACCATATGAAAACAAAACTTAATTTTCCATAGCTTTAGCCTGAAGGGACTACTTTTATGGGCTCCTACTTCAGCAAACCTAAGGATATTCTCCTCTCCTCTGATTGGCTGAATGGTTTTGTTAAACTATAACTTTCACACACATCAAGCCGCATTACGGCTGATATAAATCCTTGCGCTGCAGACTTTAGAGAGACACTTATCGGGCTGTTTGGGGGCGGTCAGACTTAGTAATTTGCAGAGTTTGTAACTCAGAATAGCTGTATTGGTGGTATTTAGTTTAATGGATAAATAACATGTTTTGAATCAGTGATTTTTAGCAAAAATAAACCAGATAAAGTTGGCTGTAAAACTTCGGTTCGCTTAACTGTCCCAAAGTGGTTTCCTAACTTTTTTAAAAACTTTTATTTACTGTGTTTTGCCGTAACATCTCCACAAGTTTAATATATATGAAAACAAAACATGACGTTACCTATCAAACTAAATTTTCCATTGCTTTAGCCTGAAGGGACTACTTTTATGGGCTCCTACTTCAGAAAACCTAAAGGTATTCTCCTCTCTTCTGAAGTGCTGAAAGCTTTCGTTAAAATATAACGTTTGACGCCGGTGAAGCCACGTTACGGCTGATTTACAGACATCTGAGAGACACTTGTCTGGCTTTTTGGGGGCAGTCAAACTCAGTCATTTGCAGAGTTTGTGACTCACAACAGCTGTAGTGGTAGTATCCACTCTTTTATTTATTGACCGTATGAAAACAAAACATGACGTTACCTATCAAACTAAATTTTCCATTACTTTCGCCTGAAGGGACTACTTTTTTAACACTTAACACTAGAAGATTAACATAAACACACCTGAGATTATCACATTTTCTACTATAGGTTATATATTTATCATGTTTATTTGTTCAGTAAAGGTATTTTGTGAAGAGCTGAGTCATTTTAGCTTGTAGCCGGATGAATATATATGGAATCAGGGTTAAGCTGCTGTGTGTGAGAGAAGTGAAAGTGCTGTATTGTTGTGTCGGGTAGATTGTGGATAATAGACTGCAAGGTCAAAGGGCTGTGCCGTGATACACTGAAACATATCCTTATCTTATCCTGGAGAGAAGCCCTGTTACACAGCACGTCAGCTGTGAGAGAAGTGACAGAGTTAACTCAGCGATACATTATTAAAATAAACCGCTTTAAAACAGAAAAAGACTCACTCAAGTGTCATTTCTTCGAATAACGGAGCCTGAGAGTGTTTGTAACAGGCAGAACTTGTCGTAGTTTCTTTTATTCTGGCTTTACCGAGGAGTGGAAGAGAAAGTAGGCTAAAGTTTAAAGGCTTATGAGGAGGTCAAGAACAGAAGCAGCCGATCATTTCTGCCTGTTTTACAGTCAAGCTGACCCCCAGGAAGCACATGCACATAGTGTATTCACTGAAAAGTTGAGGTGTTATTACCCTAATGTTGTAAATATGAGTCTCAGTCACATGTTTTTCTGAGTCTCGAGGTTTTGTTTAATCTCCTGTGAATTCTCAAGTGGAAAACTGTAATTTCTAAGGCGGGAAAACCAGTTTGTCCCTCTTGAATAGCCCAGCAAGAAATACCAGCGTGAGTTATTGTTTAGAGTGGCACCTGTACTTTTCCATCCCATAGGTGGTACAGCTTTTACTCCCATAATGCCGCAGTGAGGCACAACAACAGGTCTGGTTACTAACAGTCTGATGCACGGTATAGTGACGGTTTACCTGCTGTGGTGCGTAAGAGAGGCCTGCTGGCGATGCAATACATGTGTGGTGTTTCACTGTTGAGGGGCTATGAGGAATGTGGATGGGTTGATGTCAGGGCGCCCTCTTCTGGTGGAGTTTGGAAGCGCGGGTGCAGGATCAGGGTCATGATAGTGAAGGATAATACACACAAAAAAGCAAATTTCTTGTCATTTTAGAGTAATATTGGTGTTTATATGTAGAGTTTGGATGCAGCTTGGATTTTGTGTCACAACTTAAGCAATCTAATTATTTTTTGGGGGTCATTTCTTGCCTAATTTTACACAACTTTTAGAACATATGATGAAAAATAGTTTACTAAATGTGCAGCATACAAGGTGGCAGAGTTTTTAAAACAATCTTGAATACAAGTTTGTGCTTTATTTTGTAATAATGAGCATAATAAACACATAAAATGAGTCACAGAGTTTATAATAATAAACTTTTACATCCACCTCTGCTGCTAAAAACAGGGTCAGAGGATGTGGGAGTGAAATTTTCCACTCACTGATCATTAAACCACAAACACATTCGAGTGAAGCCAAACCAAAACAAAGAAAAGCCCGGCTCCTGTATCCCCTCTACGGTCTGGCATCTTTCCCACCATTATCCTCTCAGTTTTAGAGTTAGAGTCATTAACCGGCTGATATCTTACTTTAATGTTCAGTAATATCAACAACAATAACGACATCAACTCATCTACCTTGTCTCAGAGACTTTTGTGCGTTTAATTCTTACTCAGTGAAGACGTCCCTGAGCATCTTATTCTTGCCCCTGGCGTGGGTGTGGATCGATCATTACGTGTATCCAAGAAACACATTTAGTGAATGACAAATTACTTTGGGCGGCGTCCCTGTTCATAGCAATAATGATGATAGGAGTCCTCACTGTTACGCAGAGATAAAGAGCGACGATGACGTGAGATTGCGGTAAGAACCGTCTGCTCCCTCCACCTTTTCTTACCTAACTATCTCTTCACCGTGACTATAAAACCTAACCTAATTATGAGACCAATTATCTAACACGGCAGCTACTAAGAAGAGTTTGAATCAAATAACTTTAATATGAATGAACCACAATCTAAATAAGACAAAATAAACACAAACTGAATTGGCTCTGATAGAATTCTGAAAACAGCAGAATGGAAATCTGAACACATCTGCAAACATCCAATAAAGATAATCAATCATTTAAATTATGGTCTACAGACAGTGCCATTATTTGAAACACTCGTCAATAAATTAGTCTACTTCTAAAAAAATGTAACTCAAAAACACTCGGTATCAGCTGTCGGCATCAACTTTACTGATATTTTCAACATCGTGATCAGCGTCTGCTCTGGTTTGCACCGTTATAATTTCACTTCACCAGGATGTGAACACTAACTATCTGACTTGAACATGAATCCAGTGGTCGTTGTATAAGGTTTAAGGCCGAATGCTGCTGTTTGGAGTGGAAATGTGCACAAATGTCCCTTTTGAATCTAGTTGTCATCCATGTTTGTTTACATCCAGGTGATAAAGAGTTATAGCAGTATGAAGAGAAACAGCCTCAGCCGAGATAACCAACATTTTTGGGCCCACAATGATCAAAATATTCAAAATAATAAGTTAAAAAGACGAGAAATTTTAATGTTGACTTGTAGGGTTGAGGTTGAGTCGACCAAACTTGCACATTTCTGTCTTAAGTGGACAAACTTTTCCAGTTTCATGAAGAAGAAAGTGTCCACCACCACCACCGTTCCCAGTTAAGCCAGATTTGGACCCACTCTCCTCTGGTCTCTTTGCAAGAAATCTCCCTAAAACCAATTCCTGCTTTTGAGTCTGGAAGCCGTTTTTAGATTAGACGTCTTATAGAGTCATAAATCTCGACTAAATCTGATTTGTTCGAATCATGTGCCCGTAGCTGGTTTCTTGCAGTGATCGCAGGATTGTGGAGCGTGTAAACACCATCGCTGAGCGCCTCTGGTTGGGTTATGACATTTACTACTGCAGCTGATCCAGTCTACACAAAAGTATTTCCCTCTGATGACACAGTGACAGACTTTTCCTTACACGCCATTTGTCAATCGCCCCTCATAAACACCTCGTCTGACTTTTATTAGGACGGTTAATCCTGCTCTGTAGCCCAAACAGCACGTCCTGTTCTGTTACCATCAGCATGATAATAACATACATGACTGTTCACATTTCTCCTCTCTGTTTGTCCCCATGTATCCTGATAAGGACACGACAAACAAAACGCCACAAAGATGCTGTAAAAATGGCTGACGGGCGGGCGGGCGCTTTCCAAACACGGAGAAATTGCATGTTCTCGGGGATCACACGCAACGCATACCCTTCATTGTCCTTTTACGTAACATCTTGTGGTTTCAGTTGTAAGGGGGAAATAGCCGAGGTCAAGTTAAATACGGCTTTAGCGTCGAGGTCGCTTTACAATACGGATTCCAGAAGTGGGAAGTGGCTCGTTGTAAAGCTCGCTTGTGGTTGGATTTTGTTGCGTCGACCATCTCTGCGTTCGCTTGGTCTGAATCGGGGATACGATGACATGACAAGTCAGTGTGTGCATGTCGTTGTTCCAACAGTTTTGAGGCCAAATAAAGTCATGTTTTCCCCCCGAATGACTCGCTAAATCATTAACCAAATAACGTCAACTCTAACGTAGATGCTCCTAACAAAATATTTACCAGGGCGCCTTTCCTGACGTGTTGATGTTTGTTGAGCCACTTGGCACACGCAGCAAACTTGAGCTCTGCGCTCTTGATTTGCAGATTATAATCTGACATGTTTTCACTTTATCAAGGAACAACAGGAACATCACTCCTCCTTCAGCTGCATATACATTCTCAGAAAACCACTTTTCTTCTCGCAGGATGATTTAAACCAGGACGTCCTCTGCTCGAAGTCAGCTCAAGAGACGTCACTTCTTGTATATATTCTTTAATTCGTTGTGTGCTGTAAACAGGATATTCTGCTCGGAGATGTATGTACAGAATAAACAGTCTTATAGCTTGTTGGGGGTCAATCTGAGCGAACCCAGGCTGAGGAGGAACTGTGAGGGAGCTGGAGGAGAATTCCTCTGTGGATTAATGGCTAAGACCTAAATTCCACCCTCTATATCCATAAAGAGCAGGTTTCCACTCTGCGCTGAAAGCCACAACAGTGTAAAAGTAATACAGTATCCACGCTGTCTCTCTTTACATCAGTGAAATACTTGAGCAGCTGGAGTTTTGGAACAAGAAGACAGAAGAGAGACAAAGGCGGAGGAATCCTTGAGAGTTTTGTTGTTGGCATCAGCAGCGTCTCGTCTACACACCCTGCGTTGATGTGGTTTAAGCGCAGACACATAGTTTGCCATCTGCATCCTCTATATACATGTAATTTAGCGGGGATTCTGCAGTAAGCTCGCTACAATGCTTAGAAAGAAAATCACATCCCACTGAGGAGGTTACGAAAGCAGAACAACTCACAAACAAGTAGCACCAGTGTTTTCGCCGATAAATCACCTTTTCATTTATTTTTGTCCTGCTTCCTGTTTACAACAGTCTCCCCTCTGTCTCTAAGAGGGGGATTATAAATGAATGTGCCGTTTTTACTGCCGATTAAGGCTGCCTTGGTAAGCTGCAGCCTCACTGGTAATCGTCCAGTATCAGCAGATTGGCACCAAAGATTGGGCTCGCCCCCTGGAGGTCAGGGTTGGCACTGCGGTGAAGGCGCTAATACTTAATTAAATGGTGTTTGCTACCTTTGAAATCAAACAGAAAACATTCGACTTTCTTTGTCTCTGTCTCAAAGTGCAAAAAAATGCAGTTCCTCAAGTGTCCACTTGGGGCTGGCTGCAAAAGCCAAGTAATCCCCATTAGGTCTCATGTTTAAACACCAGTTTTTACAGCGAAATTTAACAAGTTTACAGCGTGGTACAAAAACATTTCTGGTCTCTATAGCTCGGCTCTTTCTTTGTCAAATATAATAGGAGTTATATTTTGTTATCTGTTTTAACAGTCGTGGTTTTATCAGGGCTGAGAAGAGCCGAATTGACTGCAGAGAGGCTAAGGCTGGTGGTGCAAGCTCTGCTAGAGTTAGCAACACACGGCAAACCAACCGGACACAGTTCTGCGCTGATTTAGTGATTTTTATCCATGATGAATAACGGCACAATCTTTTTTTACATTTTCTACATTTGGACTAGTCTGACAGTCAAAACTAGGGACGCACTGAACCGCTTTTTTCACCTCCGATACCGATACAGATATCTACAGTTTAGTATCGATACAATTCCGATACAGACAATCCACACTGAATTACTTTTTATTGTAACCTGAAGTTTGGAATGTTTACTGCGCAGGTATTGCAAGTGGCCGTCGAGCTTGTTGGTGGAAAACAATGAAAACAACGTGGGCGTACGATCAGCGTGTTGACTCATGGATGCCACTCATGGCGCATTGTCACGATACCCGATCTAGAATTTTCTTCAGTATCAAATATCAGATCAGTACATCCCTAGTCAAAACAAGGATATCAGTCACTTCGGGACATCTCGTGAGCTTGCCGTTACCACTCCAGCTGTGATTTGACATCCTGACGGTAGCAGTACCATGAGACAGTGAACCAAACAAGGAAGCAAAAAGAGACGAGTCTTGAGTTTTTCTCAAACTACAAGATCCTTGAAATCGTCTTCAGTGAAAAGGAACTTTAGTTCAAAGCTTAATCTTTGACCATTCAAGGTGTCAGATCCCAGGGGACTGAACAATCAAAGTTAGAATAGCTCAGACATGTTTGATCGGCTGCCAGATGTGGAGATTTCCATTCCTGTCGAGTTTCGGGATTACAGCGCCAACAGTCACATTAGCTTGTCTTGTGAGATCAAACGTGACTGGGTGGGAGGGTTTTCTTCTGCATCATGATTTTCACTTCAGGAGGAGGAGAAAAAAAAAGTGCACTTGAGTCCAAAATCTTTTCAACAGGATGTAACTGGAGCTGCCTCTGGGCATGCTGACTCAGAGCTTGGCCTTTACCCACCATTACAGACGCTTTAAACAGCCCTCACTTTAAAACATGACATTTAGATTTGGCAGTGTGCTGTTACAGAGCTGCTTCTTCTAGTTACCGTCCAATTATTTTTCTAGCATACTGGAATTCATAAAACAGAAATGTTGGCTCCTGTTTGAGGTCTGGAGGGGTCGTTAAAAAAGCAGACTCTATCGAAACACAGACCTTATGTGTCAGAAAAGCTCAGGTAAGTAAGCGCCAGTTTGTTCTTCACAAGGTTTACAACGTCGTCTACTTCACTGAATAAACAAAACTGGATCATTGAGGAGGCAGCTGAACCTCTGAGGCCCAAAAGACTCATATTTATGACGTGGGACATGGCCTGTCGACAAACCAACCTGCATTATAAGACGATATCTGTCGTCTGTGCTTGTTTACATCCAGGTAGTAGAGCTTTGTACCTTAAAGGTGGGATAGTCAGGATCTGAGGAAGTTCCAGTTTTTGGGAGAAATCTTGAATGTAAACTCTACCCCTCCCAACCTGTTTTCCCCTCAGCTCCTCCTCTCTGCTCCAGCAAGCCCCGCCCACAAACAGATGCTCCTGCTCGCTCGTATCGTTCCAATTAAATTCGAGTGAAAGTCAAAAGCATTGGTGCTACTGTAGATGCCAACAGACTACCAGCAAACACAATGTTTGCAGGACTTCTACAACTAGGATAAAGTGACATAGTCCAGGACCCGAGGTCAACAGTTTAGCGATGGCGCTACAACACGCCTACTGTCCGATATCGTAGCACGCTAACTTTGTTTGGGCTCCTGAACAACAACGGGGGAGCAGCGTCTGCCTCACAACCAATCAGGTCAGGGGAGGTAGAGAACAGCTTTGTTTACGGTTAGAAAGAGCGGATCGCTCAAACCCAAACTCTTTACCCAGTATAGTGAAGATTGGACCTGATGGACCGACTTCCCTGGCTTTAAAAAACAGATTATAGACGTTTTCCAACTCCTGACTTAACTAAATTCCCGAAACATGAGGTCAAAGTGTCCCTAAAACTTTGAAAAGGTCTATCTGGGGCAGGAGGACACCAGGTTTTCAGATGGTTTTTTTTCTGTTTTTATGGCCCATCAAAACTGAAAAAGTCAGACTGAGGAGTGTCGAAGCGCTCTGTTGGAAAGAAAATGAAGTGAAATTGGAGTCACATGAACTCACCATCTTTACATCCAGTTTGAACCACAGACACAACACAAGCCGGTTTGTTTTTCTTGATGCATATAAAGACAACAGTTTGATGAGAGCTGCTCTCCTGTGCAGCCAGATCTGACTGCAGCCAAGGTGGGTGTAACTTGGTGATGTGGCACTGTGGCACAATGAGTCTGTCCTGGAAATAGTGCCTGCCTCTGTCCATAGCCAGGCGTTATGCAACTATTTATTCAGCCACTGTTGCACAGCGGGTCATTTCCAGGCTACTGGACCTGTCCAGCTGCAGAGGAGACCAAAAGCTTCACATTTTAGCGAGGAATCCCAAACCCGCCACAGAACGGGCTCTCTGAATAAGACCGCCACTGTGATGTCTCACCATGAGTAAAGACTGAGGGTTCAAATGATAAAACACCAGTCAGCATTTCACAAGTGGAACATGCTTTTATAATTAGATACACTGCGGTTTCTGGATTCAGGACAAGAGCGCCAACACTGATGCAGTGGAAGATTTTTTCCCAAGACTCAGAGAAGCAAATAGCAGACATGTTTGCCTTAGGATAAAAGAGGACATTAACGCTGACGTTTTCATTTTAATCCACTGGCTTTTGGATGCAACATTTTCCTTTTTTGCTGTTGGAGATGGTGACTGGTGACGGTAAATGTTCAGGGACTTGGGTCAGGCTGTGCTGCTGTACAAACACAGCAGCATCAGTTCAGAGAAGAGCGGCAGGGTCAAGTTGTGAGAAGTGAGGGTCTTTGTCAAACAATGAACAGATGGCAGGATGGTTGGTGCGGTGTTTGCCGAACAGTCTGTGCCTGCTGGTCCACCGCTCTGTAGAACCTGTCCATGGTAACAGTTCATTTACTCCAATGTGCAGCTTCAGAAACCTGCTCTTAGAAAGACGTCAGTTCACCTGAACTCCTTCGGTATTTTTACACTTAAACGACTAGTTTTACATCGTTGGAGTCGAACTAAAACATTTGCAACCACCACTGTAGATTGACTGAATAATTACAATGCCATCTTTGGGATAAATGCATCCGATTACGAAACTCAAGTTAAATTTTTCACTTGGTTGCATAAATTAAGCAAAAGTTCAGGAGCACTGAGTTAAAATGAAGACGCACCGACATTTTTTGTGTTCTGAACTCTCAGTTTTCAGTCTTGCAATTCAGATGCATTGATGTACGCACCGTTACCTTCAACCTTTGATGAACACGATGCATTTTGAACACGGTGCATTGTGAACATGGTGCATTTTGAACACGGTGCATTGTGAGTATAATGTATTGGAAACATGGTGCATTGTGAATATGGTGCATTTGATGATGATGCATTGTGAACACGGTGTATTGTGAACATGGTGCATTCTGCCATTTTCAAATAAAGTCAACAAACACTTTGAAAAATTAAGCTTTCGCTGCAGCTGGTGCATTTACATTAACAACTTTGCCATCGCCAGTTTCAGGAGTTCGAGAAATCTCTTCATCTTCTCTCTGCATCTCTTTGTTAGCTCTAGTTAGCTCTTCGTCTAAGCTAGCAAAAAGAAAGGAACTAAATCTTACATTGGCACTCGAAGTTCAGACTGCTTGGTTAGTTAATTTCTCAGCCGATGTAGAAAAATGTCAATTTTTGTTAGTGGAATCTGGTGACTGCGAAGCTCTACTTCATACCGTCTGTGCTTTATTTATTCAGACCCCTGGAAGGCCTCGGTTTCTAAATGCTAAGATTCAGTCATTGTTTTAGTTTTATTTACATATTTTCACTCAATTCACTGAAGGTTCTTGTCTGTGGCTTTAAAAGCAGGAGGTAGATGATTTTTTTTTTAGTGTTTGATGCCCGAGCGTTGTAACGTGATATTTAAACTCGTCATGAGAAACCGATCTTTTCAAAGAACAACATCCCGGTTACTTCACTGCCAACAGTCTCCTTTTTACAGGAATATTTCCCCCTGAGAGAAAACAGTTTCTTGGAAAGATGTATTGTTTTTGGTGATTTGCTGAAATGTCCCTTTGCAGAGAGAAAATCTGACTGCGAGTTTGACTTGTTGTAGTATGTATTGAATCAACATAAAGCAATGTTTATTAGATCCCACAAAGAAATGATTTATGCCAGAAGGGAAATAATCAGGATAATCTGACTCAGTGAGTTTGTTTTATTTCTTAACTGAGACTTTATTGTTTTCTTTCCGAGCCGTTCAGCCTTCCTGGGACTTTCTGGTTGGGCGAAATCCTCCTTCCAATCACTGCTGGGCATTAAACTTGGCGTGGTCCAGGGTTTGATTCATTAATGTTTAAGTCCAGACAAACTCTGAGCACATGTTTCCTCAGGCGCGATGTAAAGAGCCTTCAGAAGATAACGTCCACATGGATCATGTTTTCACCCAGTTTCTCTTCTGTTTTTAGGTTGGACCTCCTTGACAAGCTCCTCAACCAGAAAGAGGATGAAACTTCGGCACCAGAGAGCCAGACTCCTTCTGTCGCCCCCTCTCAGACCCCCAGCGAATCCCCCAAATGGCTGCCTGGTTTCCTGACACAGAAACCAGCTTCAGGAGCGAGAACAGCCTCGCCAAACCTGGCGTGGGCAAGACCTGCCGAGTCTTCGCAGGCGGAGCGTAGGACCCTCAGGGCTCGTCGCCATGCCCATTCAGGATCACGAAACGCTCACCACCACCCCCACCATGCCCAGCTAATGAGAGTGGGCTGTGTCCTGGGAACTTGTCAAGTGCAGAATCTCAGCCACCGGCTTTATCAGCTCATCGGTCAGAGCGGCAGAGAAGACTCGTCCCCCATCAACCCTAGGAGTCCTCACAGTTACGGATGAACTCCGACCACCTAAGACGCCCATAGCAAGTCGATCTTCATCTTCATTTATTTATCTCTTAACGTATTACTGCTAGTCTTGGCATTAGAGTTTGATGTAGTCCATTTGTTTGTCCATCCCACAATGACACTTTCACTCCTCGTAAACGTCCCCTTTGACTTTTGTGCTCAATGATGGATTTAAAGACTGATGTTCAAGAGCCTGACTGACTGAATCTTCTGTAAACGCCCACTTTTCAGTTCTCCATCCAACCAAGAACTCTTGTCTTTTGAGGAAAACCACATTTAGATCTTGATGGTACAAGCTTCAGATTGTGACTCGACTGAATCTACTTTAAAACCCAGGATTTTGGGTCCTTCGTTTGACCCAATTCTTTCCCCGTCCATGAACTCCCAAAAGAAACTGAACAACCTTAATTTGACGTCTTAATCCTGTTAATACAAGAATGAAGGTCTGTCCTAAACGCCGCCCCGCTGCCAAGACCTGTCTGCCAACTGACCTCCTCATTGGTGGTTATCCCATGGCTCATTGATCAAACACTTAAGCCCCTAATGTGGACTCTCAGACCCAGGGTCCTGTCACAACCATTGCATCCCGAAGATCCAGTCAATCATGTAAACGATCCAACGAACCCTTCGACCTCAGAGTCAAAACCATCGACTCGTGTAAGTTCAACATGAACTCCCAAAACCTTCTGGTTGGACCAGGAATTTGTCACTCAGCAGGACTTTGTGTTTCAGGACCACAGTTTACATTCAGAACCGGCCAAAGGACTTTGGTTACACCCGAGTTTAAGAGCATTCTGGGGTCAGGACTTGACCACACACACGCTGAAAAGGAAGACGGGGGTCAGCGTCCAAACAGACCTCCCAAAAAGACCATTTTCAGTGTTAGACAACCCAGCAGGTGGTGAGGAGAACCAGGGAGGAGATGGAAAGGGTTTTTGTTGCTCCACTCACAGAGACCAGGAGTGAAATATGATCCCTTTCACATGATTCTTAAGTCAGGACTTTGGGTTGACAGCAGTTTAATAAACCTGGTCTGATCACTGGAGGGGGGTCCTGGTCCTGAGCCTCAAACGATCTCTATATCCGACTCTGATAAACAAAAAGTGAATCACGAGGTTTCCAAATAATCTGGGCCCAAAAATGTTCAAAGAGTTGATTCACCAAATCCTCGGATGTCACTCAACGAGGAGTTTTGATTTTGGATTGAAAAGTTTCTGTCGTTCAGAGCGCTTCTGTGGCGCCGTCACTTTTCAAAAACTCAAGTTTAGATCCCAAATACTCCCACAAGGCGCCTCTTGGATGTTTTGCTGCTCTGTCCACTTTAACAGCAGCGAACGTCCCCCATCCTTCTACGAAATCATCATTGTATTAATGAACTGAAGTCAAAAGTGTGATTCGATAGTCGGGTAACGAGGAGAAGACTCTGATTGAACAGCTCTTTAGAGTTTGGATCAAACTTGGGTTTCTGATAAAAAGTGACGGCCCCATTCTTTTCTGTCCTTTTTAAAGTGAATCTGCCAAAATCAAACGTTCTGCTTTCGCTGAATAATTCTCTACAGCTGAAGACCGAACAACCAAACGTTCCAGTCCCAATTCTGTTTCTAAGGCCCTACAAATAAACCCGATCCCCACGCTTTTTACGGTGCAGTAATTACTTTGGTTTCCCCTCCTCCAAACCAACTAAGGCCTTAAACGCAGACTTAAAAATGGATTGGTGGAAAATTCCCAGAATGATTTGCCAACCGAGGCAGTAAAACGTCTAACAAATCTAACAGGCACGTGTTTAATTAGAAAATGCTTAATTTGTTGGAGCATTTTCGTTTACTACCCGTGCAGAGTCACATGTCATTTGCAGCAATCACTGCTTTCTTTTACATAATCTAATTTTCCCTCCATTGACTCAAAGTTGAAGTCAAGGTTTTAAAGTGCAGAATTGGAGGTCAATGCAAAGCTCTCAAAGTTGGCAAACCAATCACCAATCGGCCGTATCTTCTAATAAAGCGCATTCGCCATGAAGTATAATAGGTTACATGAATGTTTATGGAGGATAACTTAAGGTTTATAAGTTTACACACAGTTTTATTGGCAGCAACAGGCTCCTTTTTTGTTCACATGTACTTAGTGAAATGGGTTTAAATTAGTCCTGAGCTGGAGGCCAAAAGCTCTGCTGTTACATTGTGGGTTTCTAATGAGAAACTCCAGCAACCAAAATGTTAGGTGTGAGAGTGCCCGTTTTCAAATATGTACACAGAATGGCTTAGCACCATCAGAAATACATGCCCTCACAGTTCCTTTCTTCTATGTTTGTCCGGCCCTGAAATGGTGGGCGGATTATGGGCCCAGAATAACCGAGGTCAAGCTCTCCAAAGCAAGCGCGCCAGACTTTGACGGGCCTGAAACTTTCCAAAAAGTTCAACCCTTTCCATAAATTGTATTTTTTTTTTTAAAGTATTACATACTTCTGAACTTCTATTCCAAGACTTTACTATCCGGTGGTCTCGGCTTCTCTTGCAAAGAGCGGTTGAGGGTTTCGCTGTAGGAAAACAGTGCTGGCCCACTTTCTGAAGTTTGTGCAGAGTTCAGCTTTGATTACGTGGTCGATCACGAGTGTTTTAGCTTTTGCTTTAAATTTCACAAAGAGCATTAGTTTAAACTCACCAAAATACCTGGCGATACTTGACAAATCGAAAAGACTTTACAACATGTGATCTACGTCTGATGATAATGTTTGAATCTTTATTTTTCTGCTACTGCTTTGTGACTTTATGCTTCTTCTTTGGCATCGAGAGTTTCTTTTTATATCCAGCCTTCAAGTCACAATCCTGACTCTCTTGTGTCTGTAAGAATTAGGGGGCCTGGAGGTCACAGGGTCACATCCTTTCGTCTTAAACCTAATCTGTTCAAAGGCTTGCTGAGGTGAAACATGCCATTCTCTCTGCTGTAATGGAGCTAATCAATGTCTCGTGACGAATCATTAAAAGACTTTTGAAATGCTCGAAAACCTTGGTGAATCTCTCTACTTTTTAAAATGTGCTAATTCTGTGTTTGAGCTGCTGTACGCGTCCTATCAGGAGACTTATCTCCTGTGTTGAACCTGCTCTCTGGACCATTGTGCTCGCTGTGACGTTAGAAGTTGCGTCACGTAAAGTTGCGCGAGCACGACCGCCAATACCTCCCCCCGTAGAAACACCCAGAGCCTTCATGCTATTTGCAAAAGAGGAAAGAGTGCAGACGGAGTTTGCATGTGAAATATCCCAGATGCAGATATTTTTTTGTTTTATTTTGAAGGTCTCATGGTCTCCTTTAGGGTCACAGGAAAGCACTTTAATGCAAACATTTGTTTCTTCATTTCACTCACTGTGATGAACTTGTGAACGTTTGATGAGGCTCCTCTTGTAAATGTTGCATTTGAGATTAAATGTGTTTGTAGATGTCGGTGCGCTCCATGTGGACGCACCTCTGAAAAAAAGTATATTTATATATATATAGCCAAACTATTTAAATAAAGTTATGTATTTAAGTTATCTTTGTATGTTCATATCTGTATGTCACCAAAGATTATTTATCTCTCCTTCAACGTGACCGTATGGTAGAAAAGGAAGTCTTACCTGTAGTTAAAGTGTTACTGTTTAACAATGTCCTGTACTCTGTTAAATAAAGAACTCTACTGTAGCACGATGGAGTACGGAGTGTGATTTAAACACTTTAACACACGTGTGCACGCCAAGGGGGGTTCATTATCGACACACATCAGGTCGCTGCAAGGCATGAAGAACGCCATCAAGACGACAAAATAAACGGACATGTAAAACATAAACTGATCCACATTTTAAAGAGTATTTACAGTTATATATCTGTTTTTCACAAGCAAGTTTGACAAAACTTACCATGTAGTCTAAAAACAGCAAAACTAGCAGAATTAGCATTATTCTTTTTTAGGGCTGCACGATTAATCAATTTTATATCCTAATCAGATTATTTGATTATGACGATGTTAAAAAAGTTAAAATCCTCAAATTGATTTTCCTCTCTATCATGTCTCACGCCTCCAGGCCACCGTAGGCTCCCCAGTTCCCACACACACCAGTGTAAACAAACATGGCGTTTGCAAAAGAAGGCGATAATTTCGTGGTTAAATAGGACAAGAGCGAGTCAGTCGTGTTGAATTGGTACGACTTCACAGTTTCAGATGAAGAGTAAACCACTCCCCGCTGTAAAGTCTGTCTGAAGGCGGTATCAACCCGTCACCACGGAAACGAATTCAGGAGGAAACGCTAAAGTTTTTCGTGGTATCGGCGTTTCGGGTGACTGTAAACGGTACTTTTTGAAAACGGGTCAGAGTGAATAAATCTGTAAACGACGACCATTTCTTCTCCGTGTGGATGTCTATCTGCATCTCTGGAAACGATCATGTGACACACAGAGTAACTCTTTTATGGCGCCTGAGTGTGTCCAACCTTTATACACATGCTCTGTACTCTTCTTCGGTCTTTTGTGCATTTCCTGTGCAGCGTTACAGCGCCACTTACTGGCTTGGCATATAAACTACAACGTTTTCAGTGGTTTCGTTTTGAGAGATGGTAGAAAAACTTTTTATTTTTAAAGTGAAGTTTGGTGAAGTTGTCACTGAAAAACAAATCAAAATCGAGTTTTCAGAGAAACAAATGGAGATTTTATTTTCGGCCTAAATTGTGCCGGCCTTCTCTTTTTACATTCAGCTAATTTTGAATATGAGGACAAAAAGTCTCCATAAACTCGGTCTGACTTGTTATTGCATGTAAATCCGCGATTCCCACTGTCCGTAATCCGCCACGAATTTTACCTGACAATTGGATCCAGTAGGTATTGGCGTATAGCAAACATCACCTCCGTTTCGGATCAGAGCCGTTCCCGATGTGGTGGAAATCCTGGGTAGGTCAAGATATAGTGGATGTAAAGTTACACAGAGAATGTGAAATGACTGACTGCTGCATGACTTGCCGTTAGATTTATAGAAAGTTGCAGAGAAAAGACAATCCTGAAAACTTTTCATACCATGAAAATATCCTATGCAAAAAAAAAGAGGAATTTACAAATGAAGAAAAGGTCAAAGGTGAAATGAAATATGAAAGTTTGGTGCAACAGACACGATCACACATGATCAGCCACACTGAGGAAACATTAACAACCTTTTCAGCCTGTTTGTGTGTTAGTGAAGCATCCCAAAATGACATAAGTAGAAGATGATTGAATAACACGAGGTTTAGAAACTATGACAACGACCTCCTCTGAGGTATGTGTCCTTGACCGAGCTGTTCTGACCCAATAATCCTCACCGGGTCAATCATTACAGTCCGTGCATCACTAAGCCAACGAGTCGAGAGGCCGGCGGGGACAATGGGACTGAAAGATTGAGAAATGGGAGCAGGATGTGACAGTGGAAATGTCAGCGGTGTGGGTCTTATGACTGCTCAGAGTTAATGAGTGACAGGAGGGGGTTCGGTCCACAGCGGGGAGACGATTGGTTCATTTCACGTCCGTGGGAGGGGCCGAGCGAGGGGACGCAAAAATTCAGGAGGACATATACTTTCATTTAACTCCTGAAGTTATGTAACAAACACAGAGATACTAAAACTTTCTTATATTAATGTAAACACACATCAAATAATAAGACATTTAACTTCTTTAAAATTTCCACTCAGCTGGAGCGAAGGTCTGAATACTTTAGAGGATTTTAAGAAAGATTTTTTCCATAAAAGATAAAACTTTATTTGTTTTTCATCTCAGAGAAGTTTGTTGAAAGATCGTCATGATCATACTGTGACAATAAAGTTGTTTTTTAATCAGTTAACGACAGATTTACTTTAAGTTTGACCTTTGATTTATGCCTACACGTTCAAACAGCATCTGAAAACGCACTTTGAGAATAGAGACCATGATTGCATTTTGACCTTGTTTCCCTCCTGTTCTCTGTGTTTTATTCTTTAGATCAGTTCTAGCGTTTCCTGTTTTATTTTGTAGGAGTCCATTTCTTGTGTTTCTACTTCCCTAGTTTTCCCTCCTTCGTTAATCACCCATGAGTTTTACCTGTGTCTCGTCTGTCTCACCTGTTTTTTTCCCAGTGCGTGTATATAGTCCCTGTCTACCTCTCTGTTCTTGTTGGTTCATTATGTGTATATGTGTGTGTTGTGTCTCCCTGTTTCACGTGATCCTGGATTGTCGAGTCTCTAATCTCCTTGTGATTTTTTCCCCAGTGTCTTTTGTTGGATTTTGTCTTAAAGATTTTTTTTGGTTGGACATTTTAAAGTAAGTTTTGTTGCTGTTCCTTCAGTCTTTTTTTTAATAGATCCTTTTTCTTGTCTGAATTTTTGGGTCCTTTTCCTTTGTTGAACAGAATAACAGAAATTCAGAATTCTCATAACAGAAACTAGACTGAGAACTTAACCCCAAAGATGCATTAAAAATTAGCTGAGGATCAGACCACCGACGTCCCGCCTAATTCATACTGCATCCGACTGTTTGGCAACTCCTACAGGTGGTGAACCCATGGGAAGGGCGACCCACATCACCTTTTAGGGACTCACCCCCAGACCTGGTTCTATGGGAGGGCCTTGGTGACCCGTGTCTTGGAGAGGGATACTGGTTACTATTTATTGAATTCATCATGAAGGGTCTTTTGAGCTACACTTTGTCTGGTTCCTTCTCCAGGATCTGTTTGTTTTGGGTGACCCTACCAGGGGCAAAACGCCCCAAACAACTCAACTCCTGGAATCACTCAGTATGTTTACATGACACTCGAGAAAACCGAGTAATCGCCTTATGGTGTCCTGCTACATATATGTCTAAACCTTATTTTAACCAGACTGGGCGAATTAAGAATGAAATCACTCCAAATACAGTCGTCATATTGACATTTAATCCTGCTCCAAATACGAGTATTTTAGCTTTAACAAGTTTTCCTTGGATTTTACAGACAGCCTCTAGTGGACACTTGAGGAACTGCAGTTTTTTTGGCTTCAGTCTCGAGAACAGCTCGATCCGCTCTGCCTGTTGTCTTTTTCTAAAATATCATGTTTGTGATTTGAGTCCATTTTCCTGATTTAAGGCGTTTAGGAATGTTGGGAATCTTGCCTGAATTGAAATGGCGTGTTGTGGTTTTGGGTTTTGAGTCATGAGTATTCAGAGCCAAACAGCTGCGATATTTTGGCCCAGTGTTCGTGAATTAAAGCTCGTCAGTAATAAAGAGCAGAAACTGAACATAAATCAGGCCTCATTTATAATCTGGTTAAGATATAAAACAAGATAAATCAGCATCAGTAAAGTCAGCAGCTCCCCTACGGAGAGAAAACTTTAATAAACTGGATTTTTAATCACATCATTAATGACCAAATGTACCAACGAGCTTATATCTTGTGCAAGTATGTATCTTGTAGCTCAAGATAATGACTTTGTTTGCACAAGATAACACAGCCTAGTTTGACTATTTTATTGTGTGCTCAAGATAAAACCTCTTTACACAAATTATTTCATGTGTTATCTTGTAGAAGCATTAATAATTATCTTGAAGTACTACATTAACCAGATAATTATCTTGTGTTCACAGAATATCTATCCTGTCGGAACAGGTTCTTGTCTTGTACTAACAAGCCCATATCTTGTGTGAAGGAGGTTATATCTTCTGTGCTCAAGATACTTACATAATTGTCTTGTTCCAACAGGAGAGTTAAGTGTTTCATAATTCATATGATTCATATCTTGTGCGCACAAGATATCATCTTGGACCTCTAAAATCATTATTTTGTCTGCACATGATAACTTTTACCCATACAGTCATTGTTTTGCACAAGATCATTATTTTGTTAAACAAGTTTTTATCTTGTAGGAATATATTGATTACCTTATGGGAACAAGATAACTTAATAATCATCTTGTTTGCATAAAACAATTATCCTGTGGGAGTGAGTAACAACTTGTGCTTATCAGCCAATAAGTGTGTTCACTTGTGCACACAGATATACATAGTTAGTTTGTTTGTACAAGATAACTTGTTCCTGTAAGATAACTCTGTTTATGCACAAAGTAAAATCTTGTTTGCACAAGATACATTGCATTATCTTGTAGAAATGATTTAAATGTCTCCTTGGAACAAGATAGTCAGATAGTTATCTGATGCTGTTAGGGCAGGTGGAGGTCCTGTGCCAACACTTATCTTGTATGAACAGCATTTTTATCTTGCGCACTGAACATAATTATCTTGTTTGCACAAGATATCTATAAAAAATGATTGAAAACAGTTCCTGCAAAATTATTGTATCATGTGAACAAATGTTCATCTTGCAACAACTCATTAGTTATCTTGAGGGAACAAAAGAGCCAGATCACAATCCTGCGGGAGCCTGTTATTGTCTTGTGCGCTGAAGATCTTGCTCCTCGTACATGAAAAAATGCTGTTTTTCTGAAAGGATTTTGTGTAATCTTGTGGAAACAACTCAAATATCAAGATGATTAACTTACGTGTTCTCACTGTTTTATATCTTTTGCTCAAACGATGTCATTTTGTGACCCAAACATCATTTATTTTTTTCATACGAAAAGATCAAATCTGTCACTTTTTGAACTTTGGGGTCTTTTGGGAACTCCAGACTGTGTGATGGGAGTATCCTGTGAGTTTTGTGGATAACACAGATCTTTCTTCA